AAACATATTTTTATTTCACTTGAGTTGTCTTTTTATGTATTGGGTTTACTTTAAACTGGGCAGATACTGTATTGAATTCATTTAATATTAATGGAGTCGTATTTTACAGTACACGTTGTAGCTAACGAGTCTCGACTGAGACTGTGCTGTGATATGAATAAAGCTGAACTCCACTGCAAAACATCCAAGAAGTGTAGTAATGCTGTCTTTATTTTTTCTTTAAAATTTCTTTGGATCCCTCTTGTATGAATAAAGCCTAACTAGATTACATTTAGTGTGAGTACCAACATTGGGACTGGTCTATTCAACCGTACAGTTTAAGTGTTGTACCGCAAGGTTAATGGTATACATGTAAAGTGTCCTCCTAGCCTAATTAAAATTTTAATTTGGTTCAGTGTAATGTCTTTTTCTAAACAGTTTAACATTTGCTGTCTCATGCGAAGTACTTTATAACTTAGCTTTTGAAAAGTTCTCTACCATTTTATATGATTATTAGTAGTAGTGGTGGTATTCAGATGGGAGGAGTTAGCTACATCCTGTACATCAGCCTCAGACCTGCCTTATCTGACAGTAATTTGACGTTGTTTGAGCAGGTGGTCGTGACAGTAGACAGTTTTATAGTTATAGTGCAGCATGGGACTTGCGGAATAGTTGTTAAATGTCTTCTAGATTACTTGTCTATGTCCATGTGGATTGTTTTATAGGACAGTATATAAATCATTCAAGTATGCTGGCACACTTGTGACTGTCTGAATGAATATGTATGAGTGTGAAGCTGTATCTGTGTGTGCAGTGTTTCTGAGAAGCACTTCTTGCATATTTTTGCACATATGTAAATGTTTTTAAATGTCTGCTTGGTTGCTTCCTTAGATAGTTAGATAGTTACACAGATAGACAGTTTAGACCCTCAGAGTGGAGATATTTGCTTGATTGTCTCCAAGTTAATGGGCTACGTCAGATTTAGGATTAGGGGGATTGGAAGTTGGTGGACTCTCACAAGTCTCTTGAGACATGTTTACAAGTAAATGTGTAAATGCGATTGAGTGTGATCGCTGCCGTGTCACCCCTGCCAGCGCTGTTGCATACGCAGTGGTGGACAGCGTCGGTGGCAGTGAGCCAGCAGCCCCAGCTAGAAAGCAGCTGAAGATGAAAAGGAAACGCACAGAAGAAATGCAAAGCACTTGGCTAAATCCTCCCAAATGATTTAGACACGCAGCGTCTAGCCGCTGTGAATCTGAACAACACACACAGGAGCATTTAAAACAGTCGAGGGTTTTTGATGTGCATTTTGCTCCCTGCATTTGAAAAGCTGGATGTGAATATTTATCACTAAAGCTTACGGAGCGCATTAATTCAAAAGTATCACCAAAAGGTTGCATTTTCACCGTGTTGTCTCACATGGGGATTTCCTGTGGCCTTCTAATCTCTCTTCTGCTTTACAACTAGACAGCACACTGCATGAGGTCACTTTTTTCAAATATACGCGATGCTCAAGCTGAGATATATAAACTGCACTCCTTGAATATTGATAACAAATTAACTTCCAGTGTATCATAACTTTGAAAGAAGCTAAGGACATAGATATCCCAGTACTGTTTAGTTCTGAAGTGACCCATGAGAAGAAACAGAGCTGAAACATTACGTGTTTTCATATAAGAATGTGGCTGATTATTAATTCAATTTGATCTGTCAAGGCCACCGGAGGATAGGTCTGGAGGTCTGATAACAGAACAAGGTCAAGAGACTCCTACTCTCATTTGGTATGACTCAGGGTTTTCCACAGCTGTTCACAGCAGCGGTGGGCCACTTCTACTGAATTAACACCTGCTTCTGGTAGGATTGGGTATTGAGACCCTGCTCTGTGATGGAAGCGGTTCCAACATTTATAAGGACAGAGCCAGGCATAGTTTCAGTATAACATTTACATCCCTTATGTACTGTATGTTGAAAGAGGGGGGATTTTCTGACAGATTTTTCAGTTCAGTTGTTTCCCCTGATGTTTCCTTGTTGAGCTGTAGCTGACAGATATGTCTTGGCAGCATATCCACCATAAAGAAACCTATGTGTAACAGCCAGGACGTATCCCTCTGCTGCAACTGCGACCAATAACTCTGTCCACATACATACATGTGAGTGCTGTATTACCGACTTGAAAAATAAGATAAATAAGAAAATTAATTAAATCGTCTTTACTGAACCAATTACTCACTAATTACATATCAATGCATGTTTATTATGTTTTCAAATATGGCAGACAACAGCGAGTGCTCGCATGCTAACCAGCTAGCTTCGGCCCGTCCTGATGAAGAAATAGCGCTGCCCAACGTTTGGTGGCAAAGACAGAAGAGATAAAAATAGAAGCAAACCGTGAGTTAACGTAGGTTTCCATCGCTGGAGACAACTGCTGGCTATTTAGCGATAGCTTATAATGGTAGCTAATTGTGTAATGTCACTGACAAGTTAGCTGTTGGTTGAAAGAAATAAAGATCTAAGGGAAGGACTGTGCATTTCCTTGTTTCCCTCCGTCACCTGTGTGCTGCCCTCAGTTGGAGTATGCATTCGACAGGAGGTCAAGTCTTACATATAGCTCCTTTAAAGAAGTGCTGTTTGAAGGACTGACATCATCGGTACCAAATTGGACCTAAATTCAAAGGTGAATGTTGTATACAAAATTACATTTTCTCATACTGTATAACAAGCCAATAATGGACTTGGGTGAGGCTCTTGTTTGGGCCATTGTCTTGTAACAGAAAAAACAAGATGGCTTCAGGATGTGTCAGACTCAGCTTAGCAGATGACAGCTACTGATCGATGAGGCTTACCCATCGTACTCTGCTTTACGCCCACCTCCTGCTAGCTACCCAGACGCCTCCAGTGGGGAAACTCTGTGACTGTAATATCAAAAACTGTGCACAAGGCTCAGATGAGCGGGACAAGCCAAGGCATATCCAACCAAACAAAATCTCTCAGAATTTTTAAGCTCAGAGATGCTTACACAAACAGCCAGGCAAAATCCATCTTTCTGACAGAATCATTTCCAAAGCTTGAAGCCCCAACTGGGCTCCTGGATGCACTTCTGAGCTGTGCCCGCCTGGGAGTGAGAGTGTCAGTGTGTGTGTGCCTGTGTGTGTGTAGGGAAGGCAGAAAGAGAGGATAAAATATGAGTCATTCAATACAGAATATCAACTGTGTGTGTCTGTGGCAAAACCAGTCTTTAGCTTTCCTTCTACCACTCTTTAGAATATGAAGGTTCCTTACTAGTTTTGTAATGCATCCTTCTCTGGTTTGACGGAACTTCTAGGTGACTGCATGTATGAGTGTGTGTGTCTATGAGAAAGAGAGATTAATGGTGTATTCCTCTCACTTCTCAGCCAATCCATCTGAGCCACCAATTTACACGAGCTGCCTCTCAGCACTAACTCTGTAGCAAATGGACTGAATGAACTGAGTGTAGACATGTGTAGACTCTAGATCTCACTAACACATCCTTGCCCTCTGACACACTTGCACACACTTACACACACACACACACACAGAACAATATACTCCATATTGAGACTGTGTATTTTCTGCATTTTTCGGTAACAGAAGATGTCCTTATGTAGGAAATGAGATGAGCAGCGTTCCCACTCTTTTTAAAAGAACATTTTCCAGGAGTTTTTCAGTGCTTGCTCACAATGGTGGACAGCTTTTATTGAACACTCCGTGTTACCTCTTGTTCGTGGCGCGCTTGGCTGTTCTCACCACAGACGATGTTTCCGGTGCAGCCTCAGTGGAGCAGAAATAAGTTCAAATCACGTAGAATTTATTTTATTTTAAATACAATTACAATTTTCTAGGACAACATTCAATTCCAGGATATTTGGTCAATATCCATTTTGGGGTGTTTCTATGACTGGAAAACTAGTCTCTAAATGTCCAGGTTTTCCAGATTGTCCAGGACGCTGGATGAGGCAGAGTCAGTGCAAGATAGAGACACTTAAAGACACTGGCTTGTGTCCTTTAAAATTAATGTATATTGTTTTTAGAAATATTATCCAACCCGTAACACTTCACCTAAGTCACCTCAAGTAATGAAGCTACCACCCTCACACCAGCACATCATGGAGCAGAAAGATCCTCCACCCAAAACCTAACCACAGAGGATAAGGAAGGGTGGGGTCGCAGAGCCATTTGGTGCAAATGAGGTGCCTCAATTCAAGCTGCTACTATGAAACTACACGGCTGCTGTAAGATGTAGATAAAACCTCACACTGTGATAGAACTTTGTGGCTGCAGCCAAAAGCGGACAGCAGGGAAATGTGATGTGAAGGGACACTAAGTTTCAGTTTCATAATTGCTGAGTGGCGGTCACATTTAAGGTGATTTTTATGGTTGAACAATGACCGGTGGAAGTGATAAATGTTCCAAATTGGTTTGTAGTATTACTGAAGATTTTGTTTTCCATTTCAGGACTTGTTTTCATTATCATCATCTCTCTTATTCATTACATTACTGAAATGATTTTTCCAAATGCCTTTATTGCATCTTCTGCCAAAGTGCCTTTTCTCAAAATGCAATATTAAAGAGTATTGTTCAGCCATAGACAAAAACCCATCTCTGACTCCACACATTTTTCTGTCACAGCTCTGTATTCCATGTTATCAGTGTCCTCTTATCTCCGATATACCGTATTTACGCATCAGCACTTCCTAATAACTCATCTATTTTTCTGAAACCTTTGTGCTGCTCTGTTCTGGAGTCAGTAAAAGTTATCATCAACGAGCTATAATATCCTTCCTTCTCTGAAATGTCAACACCTACAGTGACAGAGACAAAAGATTTTCATTTCCTGAGCCACCACAATGTATTTAATCAAGTTTGGATTTCAAATTTGTTTGGAAGAGGCGCAATGAGCCATAAGGACTGAAGTCTTTTCAATAAGAATTAAAACCAAATAAATTAGCATTTCAAGTTGGGCTAAATAAATAAAATGATATGTACAAAATAATCCAGTTTACCTGTAAATGGGATCCTGCATCACCATCATCTTGCTCTCATCCCACGTCCACTCCTTCTTCTGTGGAAATAAACCAAAACAAAACTGTCAGTTCACACAAAAGTGAATTTTTAATACATGAAGCTGAGGACTGAAGGGAAGAAAAACCCTTGTTTAAACTTTAAACTGAAAATCAAACAAAAAAAAAAGAATACATATATATCCGTCTTGTATCATTATCAAGAGTGGGATGCATCTGATTATTTCTATTGGTGTGGAAATTATTAGGACATCTCCATCTTTGAGACATTCATTTCCATCTTTACTGTTTTTCCTTTTGTCTGTCTGTCTGCCCATTTGATTAAATCTACCTTCCAGTTTGTCACAATCAAAATGTCAACACATGAGCACACCGAAATTATTCATATTGATTCCCATCTCCACATTGCTTTGTTGACTCAATCATTCAATCACTCCAATCTCCAGGTTTTCATTGGCTCCGACGTACTCAGAGATGTAAATAGATTGCTGACCATTATACTTGACATTTCAGGGAGCCAAATGGGACAAGAAAACAGGTGGAGGCAGAACATCTTTTTATCGACCCTGCGTTTCATTCCAGCCAACCAGCAACCCAATGATGCCTTTAATATTTTTCCCATCAGCCAATACATCACAGAAGGGCTGTTCAATCAAATCACTTCCGTCACACATCTTCTCTCTCTTGGGTTTGTTTTCAGGCAAGAAAATTTTCATGGCTTCAAAATTGTTGCCCCGATCTGAAGTGGACCAGTGAAAAGTCTACCTGGATCTAATGGACGGTCAGATCTGATCTTTATAGACTTAACAGAGTATGTTAAGTGGGAGGAATCGCTGGTTCCTTAACTTTCCTGATTGTAAATTCCCTATTTATTTTTTAGTAATGTCTTCAATGTTTCTCAGTATAGAATAGTATACCATTAAATGGGGCGGATGGCCAAAATTAAAATACCTACAAACCTCAGCCTCCGTTAACTTGACTGCACCAGATGGTTTGTTACACAGAACCACCTGGAACATGTTTGTAAAATGTCCCTTTTGAAAGGCCCTTTCAAAAAAAATACCTGACAGGTGATTTAATGAACAATCTGTCTATCACAGGCAAACTTTAATCAGTCAAATCAATGAACCATATAACGTGATCAAACTCTTCTCAGGAGAAGAGCAAAAAAAAAATCCCATCGAGAAAAGCCTTCAGTACCATTCTTTGTTCTCAATTGAGTCAGGCGTCGTTTGAAAAAGTAGCACAAAATGTCATCATGTTTCCTGTACTTTACAGTACAGTACTCTACATCTTACTTCAAAATGCATTTTTCTCCCATCAACAGCTGAAGGGAGATTATAGTTTTCTATGTATGTATTCAGCAGGTACTAACATTTTTATTAGTTTTTAGTAATCTAATATCATATTATATATATATATATATATATATATTCATGTACGGTAGAGGTTACCCATCTTGACTTCACCAAAATAAAACCTTTATAAAAATAGCTATGAAATCAGATTTACTGTAAGAGTTGCACTTACTGTAACATCAGCTATCTGGCAGGCCTGGTACAAAAATATCATTGTCTCTAGTCATAGGAATATTCCACATATTGTCCCAATGATGTACCATCCACACACACTACTGTACACACAAAAAAACGTATCTGGATAAGCAGACAATTGTGCACACTTACATAACTGTGCATTAATACTGATGTAATAAATAGGCTGCTCCTTAGAGGACCATTAAGACAACTCAATTAAGCCTTCTTTTATTGACACTAATGTATATCTGCGACTTACATCCACCTATAAGAACAAGTGAATGTCAGTATGTCTCCCTGTGTCACATACATGCAATAGAGAAAATCTACATATCCAAATTTGCCACGTTTTTTGAGTGTAAATATGCAGACTAACTTAGAGTCTAATATATGGTTTAATAATTACAGTCTTTCATGACTGTTTGCTGGAGCCAAACATTTTAACAGATACCATTCTTCATGCTGCAGCACTAAAATTATAGATAGATAGATTCATGCATTTTAATAGAAGCTTATTAAAATTTCGGGTTCAATCAATTTAAATTCATTACTCATTTAATATTTTTCAGCAGAATCTGGTGGCAGCTGCTTTGTTGGGGGAATTTAAAGAGATTATTGTCCACATATCAACTCTGCACTCAATGCAAAAAGATCAGCAAGTCATGAAAAGTCCATTCATTTCATTTGAAATATGACTTCTGAGTGGATGGTAAAAAACAAACTGAGAAAATCTGGCCATGCTGAACTTTTCACATCCAACCTGCAGACTGGAAAAACAATAGTCTGTATATAATCCATCTAAAAAGGGCAGCAGTTTTAACACAAGATGATGCTTGGCAGTTACTACTGTTACATTAAATATTCAATACATTTTAGAGGACTCTGTCCAGCAAAGCAGCCTGAAACCATGAAAAACTGTGAATTGTTTCAAGTTGGGATAAATGTATTGAGATGAAAAACTGAATGCAGGTGAGGAGAACGGACAGCACTGCTAAATTAACTTCCCTTTGTTCTCATCTACTGGTTTTCCACCTGTCAGACTCCCTGTGATTCTCCAGTCTGTCTCTGTGGATTACAGCTGTCAGCCTCACCGCAGATTCCACCCCGCCCCCCACCCCTCCAGTTTCTTCAAGTTTATTCTTCGCTCCTT